TGCATATTCGTTGTAACTTCATGGGTCTAGAATGAAAAGGTTCTCAATCGTTTTTATGAAAGTGTCCAGGAGAGCAATTTTAAGGTTTGAGTTAAAATATCTTATTCCTTGAAAAACATTTTGTTAAAATTAAATTTCTAAGACATGTAGCAACTTGTATAGTTTAAATCACATCATTTTAATAATTAATAATAAATTGCTGTATTGGTTGGTATTAAAATTAATAAAATTAAAATTATAAATTGTTTCTACAATTAGAACCTTTTCATCCTAAAATAAAAAAAATACATTCAATTAGAACTTTTTCATTCTTAACTGTTATTTGTATTATTGTTAGTTGAATCCTTTTCAGAATAATGGTTTCTCATTGTTACCAACCTTCTAACACAAAACGATGTAATAATAATTATGAAACATCGAAATCTGTATCTCGATCGTAAAATTCTGTGGAATAGGTATGAATAAAATAAATGCAATTAAAATTATTAATAATTATTCGGTACTGCTTAGTATAATATTTATTAATTTATACTATATTTTATAGATTGTACCTAATGATTGTACTATTTACTTATATAAGTAAGTCTGATGAGAAAATGTAGTACATTTTGATCTTTAGTTGTATCTAATATTATAATTTCATTGACCCTTTCACAAAAAATGAAACCAAAAATAATAATCCTTTAAAATTATGTACTTATTCATATTTTTAATTATTCACTCGGTTACTAGTAAATGTTTTGAACTTAAAAAAAAAATGCATTTGTGTGAAAGACTAAAATTGTGTATAAAGCATCGGCCAAAGCAACAACATACATTTGTATTGTGTTTGTCCTCTGCTTTAATATGATTAGTTGTATTCTTATCTCGCTTTTCATCAGGCGGAGTTAATGATAGTGGGTTCATTGATGAATGACAATTATAAATAACCTTTTGGCTAATACATAATGTGTTTAAGAAAAATTGTTTGCAGACTCTAATCAATAATGTATCAGTTTTGTAGAAATTATACTGGTAAAATTTTGTCCTTTGATTTATTTTTACTTTTTGAAGTAATTAAGGATTTATAATTAAGTATAAATAACATTTTTATCATTTCTGCTGACACTGTAGTAGATACATGTTTAAGTCCTTTTTCAGTCAAATCATTATTGATTGATTGTTTCCAATTTTTGGGATTTCTTTGTTTTTTTCTGGTAAACTTATTATCCATTTTGATTGGTGCCTTTTCTGATGGTGATTCTTCACAAGATGATTATTCAACTAATCTAAAACATGACAAATTATTTTAATTTTGTTATTAAATTACATTTTGGTGTATTTACTATATCTTATATTATAATTACTAAAAGACATAGATTTTTAAATGTAATTTGGGTATTCTTAGGTATAGCATGCACTCTGTGCAACATGTTTGCATTTATGCAATACACTTTTAGTCTATTACCATAAGGTTAATAAAATTGATAAAATAGTAAAACATAGTACAATATTATAACATAATATACAAAAATAAATTGTTCAGTGAAAATTAGTATTATATATTTAGTGCATTTAATGTATAAACATAAAACATTAAGGTATTTCTAGTTCCTACTCTGTTATTAATTTGTTATTAATACATGCAGGCTTTCAATAATTATATATTTATCTGATACTAATATTAAGAAATGTTTTTATTTTGTGTATCTCATATTGTCATTATCATATTGAAGTATACTACTCATAAAAACATAACAAAAAACACAAAATACATGATTTTATAGCAACAATTATGGCTAGGCATTGGTTGAATTATTTTAGCTTAAAATTTAAATTGAAACTATGTTTGATTAAAATAAATTATTATTGTAGTGTAACATTACCTTGACATGTTTGTTGAATTTTCATCAATTAAACCATAAGAGATGTGAGTATGTACTTTCTGAGGTGACTTTTAGAGTCCATAAAATCTTGTAACTCATTAATACTTGAAATATCATTTTGTGAATCTCTAGAGTCTTGAAGTAAACTAGGAATACAAAAACAAAACAATTTTTAAGCATAGTTTAACTATTTAAAAATTAATACAAGCCAAAAAAGATGCTCTGCTGTACAGTAGGTTACAAGTGGGTCACTGTATAATCGATGGTATTAAATTTGAATTCAATGATATAGTATCATTGTATAAGAAAAACGATTTTGAGCGGGGACGGCATGTCAGTCTAGGTTTAAGACATATATATACATATCTATGGTATTTTAAAAAATATTGACCTATAATAGGTACCTATTAATCATACCACAATATCCAATAAGTACTTATAATGCGTTATACATCAACAGAAAAATGTGATACTATCATAGATACATAATAGTACACTTTAGAAGTTTCAAGTAGGTACCCACGAATAATATTATACAATCACAACAAAATAACTAAATGAAAGGTTTTTTAATATGTAATTTCGTCCAAAAATGAACCTAAAATGACTATAAAAATAAACTGTGCTTGTGTATTTTTAATATTTTTCAACTGCTATTGTAACAATATATCAAGAGCATTGTATTAAAATTTTACACTTTTTGACCCAACAGATAAAACTTCATTGATATTCATAGAAAAAAAAAGTAAAAAAATGAAAACTGACAATGCCCGTAAACAGTTCAAAAAGTGTCAAAATATTTTGAACATTTAATCAGGTATAAGAATTGATAATACAAACATTCAGTGAAATTGTCATGTATCTACAGTTATTCGTTTTTCAAGTATAATAAAATAAGAAAATCGTTACATGAGAAATCGAGTGAATAATACATTTTGTAAAAATATGAATTTAAAATGCTCATAAAAATTTAATTTCAACTTCTGGTAGACATTTTTTTTTTTTTATAAAGGTAGATAATCTTATAGGGAATCTTGTATTACATTTAAAAATCTTAGATTTAAAAAGAAAAATTTTTATGAATTCTTAACTTAAAAGAATTTGCTAATTTTTGTGATTTTTCCATATTCTGTCAATTTTTGAACTTTAAATGCTTATGAAAAAAATCTGTGACTAAGGATTTTTAATATTTTTCAAATATCATTGTAACAATATAGAAGGAGTATTGTACTAAATTTTCAAGTATTTTTACTCAACAAATAAAGTTTTATTGACATTCATAGAAAAAGAGCAAAGTTGAAAACAGATACGTGATCTTCAAATAAATGAAAATATTAAGAGAACGTAACACGGGCATTTGTTTTCTCTGTCTTACAAGAGAGTTCAGCATAAAACATTAAGCTTTTCTAGTTTAAAAATTAGAATGAATCGACCTATTATGAAACATGATTTTTAGTTATGAGCTTTTTTAATTAACGCTATATTATATACGTAAAACTTGCTAAAAATTTTAACTACAGTAAAAACTCCTATAAAAACAAAGATAATTTTCTTACCATCAAGTTTCATTCACACTAAATTTAAACTAACAAAGTCAAACGTGATCTGTTGAGCTTAAATGTGCTGTTACGTAATTGTAAGACAGAGACAAGAAATGCTCGTGTTACATCCTCTTAATTATTAAAACTGGCAGTTCAAATAGTTTGATTGAAATACACCTCCCACTCCTTCCAAATGAACCCCCTTTCAAATGACTGTGAAACTAATTAAACTAACTTACTAATTAAATGTACATAATTTAATGACATTCCTGTGTTTAGTAAAATTATAGCAGAAGGACTCAGAAGTATACACTATTATTTCACCCACCTACCCTACCAACTTTCAAGCCAGTTATTAAATTGAACTAGAAATAAAAATTGAAAAAGGTTTTAATTTGTAAAATATTTTGATTATTATATTGCAACAAATATTTCATCAGTCATTACTATAATATTGTTATTTCATAAATAAAAATAAGTGTATTAACTTACAGGCAAAGGTTTTAATTGAGAAAATATTTGTTCACAATAATTATTTTCAAGCTTGGCTCTTTGATCTATTTCATGTTTTAGTGCTATTTTGGTTAACTTTAATTTGTTAAGTAAGAATGGAGATTCTTGGCATGGTTTATTAGTATCATTTCCAGTACCGGTCACTGAAAAGAAAAAATATAGAATTATTATGCAACTCAAATTTAAGAACTATATTTTAATTACAGCTTAAAAGTATAGGTAACTCACTTGTATATACCCTCAATAAGAATTTTTTTTGGAAATGTTTAAGTTTATTTTTTAATTCTCCTTTTTCTGTTTCTAGTGAATCAATAGCTGCTTGCAAATGGTCCATCGTTTCTTCTTATTCTTTTGACTTTCTTTTTAATTGCTGTTGTGTTTCATCCAATTAATATAAAACAAACATTTTCTAATAAATAATATATTTTTAACTATTTTTCCACATAATAAATATTTTAATTTATAGTTAACCTTAAAGTCAAGCATTTCTGGTATTGATGATCGAACTTTATCTTTTGATGCAGATTCTCTCATTAATTGAGTTTGTAGATCTTAATTTTGTTTACTTAGTTCATTAACCAGACCTTTAAATTTTACAAAAACCAAATTCAGATCAGCTAAACTTTCCAATGCTTGTCCTTTTCCTTTAACACACTTTAAAATAAATATGACTTAGGTATAAATAAAAATAAAATGTTTGCTATTAAGGGGTATGAATAGTATTGAAAAAATCTATAAAAATGTACTTTTGTATTTCCAATAATATGGTTTATTAAGTGGTTTGAGAGTAAAAACACCTATTATCAATATTGTAGAAGAGAAGTTAATCTGTGCCTGTATAGAAATCAAATTTTGATATTTGTAATTACTAAGCTCAAAAATTCATGAAAATAAATACATAAATGTTAATTATTACCTCCAACAGCAAGTGTTTTCTTTTCACTAATTGCTGAATAACCATCAGAAGCGGTACATACATATACTCCAGAATCCGATGTGTCAAGATTTGTAAATAGCAAATATCCTGATCCATTATCGATTGCTCTATTTGCAGGTAAACTACCACCTTCTCTTGTCCATTTTAACACAACAGGCTTGACAAATATTTACAAACATTATTATGAATTTTGTTATTTATATTATTATGTATGTATATTGTATATAGAGAAAACATTAATTATACCCGACTTTGTCTAGATCTTGCATCAAATCTAAACCTTCAGTACTACCAATTTCCACAATCTCAATCGATGGGTCGGAAACTGTGATGTAAATTTCTGGCTGACTTTGTATTGGTTTACTGGTTGTTTCTGTTTGATCTAATATGAAAAAAATAAGTTTTTTTAATAAATAACTTAAGAACTTTATTATACAAATGAATACATTAATTTATTTGATGTTGACATTCTTACCTCCTATTCTCAGTATTTTTTTGTCACTGAAGGATGAATAATTTGAATATCCATCAGATGCTGTACAAATATACACTCCACTATCTGAAGGTTCTACACTAGTTATATACAAGTAACCAGAACCATTGTCTTGTGTACGGTCAGATGGTAAATATCCGTCTTCTTTTGACCATGTTATACTGATTCTCTGAAAAGCACATGCAAAATATGTTACAAGTTATTTCATGAAATTAAAAAATAAATAATATTTTACTTGTGAACGACGAGAATTGGCAGCACAGTGTAACGTGACTGTATTTCCTATTTCAACAATTTCGATTTTCGGCTCAGTTATTTGAATATAAATTTCTGGCTGTGGTAATGGTGGTGGTGTTCTGGTTGTAGTTGTGGTTGTGGTTAGTCTATTATTAACTGAAAATAAAATTATATTAGTTATTGCACCACTATATTTAGAAAATATTTCTGATAGTTCGGAAGTATTAATTAGTTATCTTTAGAGTTTTTCAAGTAATTTTTTTGTGTTATTACCTTAAATCTATTATAGGTTTTAATGTACAATGAGTGTTGCCTGTAGGTTTATGTTACTTATTAGTTATTAGTTATTCGTTTTTGTTGATATCGATACGTCAAATTAAATTAATGCTTAAAGTAGACTCCTTTAAACATAATTGGTCTAATTATATTATTGAAATTGTAATTTTCAATAAATACAATTCCTATAGCAATCCATATAGTATAGGTCCATAAAAAATACCCTTAAGGATTACAATTGATAAATGCCTACGGCTTTTATTATATCCCAATTTGATTAACTAATAATTAATATTTTAGGGTATAGAGTATAGTGCTTGGATATATCAATGTGGATATTTGTCCAAATGTTAACTGTTGTTCATTGTTTAAACTATGCATCACTATTGGTAATTACTAATTTTTGATTAATCTGTACCGATAAGCTTGGGTTAAGCACCTGCTGTTAAGTTTATGTAAAGCCCATATTTGCTTTACAAAGTTGCTATTCAGAAATATTTATTGGAATTTGATGAGCTAGACTTATATGCTAAAATAAAATATAGTACCTATTAAATATGTGTAAAATAATTTAGTTATCCAGTATTCTCGAAAACGTGATTAAGTTATTGATGTATTTTGTTAATGAAAAATATACTGTCATTATAAAATACATGTATTATCTAAAGTATTGCAGGAAGATCCGGTGTATCCAGAGAGACAATTACAAGTGACTCTTGAGTCTGAGCCTAGTGAGCAGCTTTCTTCGTTAGCATTACATGGGCATCTTGAGCATTGGTCATTGGTATCCTTGTAATATCCAACACTACATATAACATATCTAATTTGAAAAATGATTTAATAGAGATTATTCTACATACTTCACATGATGTTCCTCTGTGACCAACTGGACATCTGCATATTTCAACACTGGTTGATCGTTCACCAACAGTCTCAGATTCAATAGCTGTATCAAAACTCACATCACTGAGGTATGTTCTATTAGTCTGAGAAGCATGTATCGCACGAATTAGGATGGCTTCAATAGACGAAAGTACTTTCATAAATTCAGCTCTTGATGCTGGTTGTGGTCCTGAGGAAATTAATCGACGCCAACCTTTTTCTACTAAATGAGTATTTAGTACCTATAATAAAAATAAAATAAAATATACATTTATATAGGTATACTTTAAGGTGAAAATATATATGGTTGTTTCGCCTGGCAGGACTTTTTTATCGTTTGATTTAAATAACCATATTCCACTTCCAACAAGTATTATGTCGGTGTCATCACGTATTGTGGACACTGGAAAAGTGGTATAGCGTTGGGTCCAGTTAAGGAAACCTCCATAGGATGTAACCTAAATTTAATACATAATCCATATAATTGAGCTTAAATTATTTTTATAATGTATTATTACTACTCATTGCATAATTTCCATGAGCTTATAATACAATACCTTATTTCCTGTAAAAGAAGATGGCAACGACCAAAATAGTTGTTCACCGCGATTAGGTGTATAGTCATAGCCAATTTCATTTCTAGACACGTCAGTTGAAAATCCAGATTTAATGAACCTATTTCTAGCACTGAGAAAATACATTTTTAATTAATTTCTGAGCATTAACAATATATAAATAAATTATAAGAAATACCTATCAGTTAAAGTAAAACCGTGACTTTGTCCAAATAACTGCATTGGAATTTGAGTAAAAAATAAATTGGAAGGATAACAGTTTTGGGAAACTCCAGAACAGAAAAACTCTAAACATCCTTCTACATGATTTTCTGATAAGTCAAATGTACCAGGTCTACAACGGTTACAACGAGGTCCTTCGACATTGATCTATAAATGTTAATTATTTATACATATTTGATCTATTTATCCTATTACTTAATTATATATTTTGTTATACTTTGCAAACACATCTATTGTCTTGACAAGGCAGTAAAGTACCCTGAGAATCACAATCACAGGCCGAAATCTCTTCATTGGCTTCACATGGTATGCCTTTTAGTGGGTTACCTGTATAACCAGGTAAACACAAATCACATGTATCTCCTGTTGTATGATTTTGACAGTTCTATAAGTTCAGAATTTATTAGTATACATCATGCTTAATAATTAATAATACTTAATTTATCATTCAATTAATATTGACTTACAACACAAATTCCAGAGTCAGGATCACAATAATTTGAATGACCGTTACATGTGCATGGTTCGCAGATTTCTAAATAGAGGCCTTGGCCATTTCTCGTGTAGCCAACAGCACATTCTTCACATGACAGACCTTTGTAACCTTCTGGGCACAAACATTCTTCCACTTCAACAGCTCTATTTTTTCCGGTATTGAATGAATCAGTGATTTCGAGCGTTACTGACTGTATCCTGTGTACAGGGGTGGAAAATGATAATAATCAATAATAATCTCAAGCAGCATATTTTTATACCACTGTATTGCCCCTATAAATATACTTACGCTACTTCTTTAGTACCAGTTGTGTAAGTTGCTTTAATTAGTATGGATTTCAAACCAGCTAATGCCATTAATAAATGTTCGCGATCTGCAACCTGACCATCTGGTCGTTGCCAATTTTGTTCTAATAGCTTTATAAGAAGTAGTTTTTAAAGTATTTGGTTCAACGTTTTCACGACTATAATGCAATAAACGGATTTTGTTTTCCTGAAATTTTAGAACAAAAAATGACAACAGAAATTCTTTTGTTTGCGATAATTATTTGAATATTTACACTTATAAGTTCGATATCTGGTGCACTGTTTTTGGAAGATTGACCACCTGGAACTGGAACATGTCTTAAGATGTAACTTAGAGAACCACCATAAGAAGTTATTTTATTTCCCAGAAACCGTGGAGGTAATTGCCAATAATAGACCTAATAATAATATAGCATATAAAGAAATTGTTCCAGTTGGTATAGAATTTAACAGTGATTGTTTATACTTCTTGACTGCCTGGTGGAAAGTCTCTGTAAATAAGTTCTCTTGTACTTGAGTCCACTTCTAAATTTGGTAACGGAACAAAGTTTTTCGCTGAATTAATTTTATGTCTTGGTGGGTCCTTGCGAATGTTGCGTTGCTCCTATAACATTAAACGTTTTTATACATACTGTCAACTGAAAAATCTCATGAGTCATTTACTTCTTGTCTGTACAGCCTAGAACTGGTGCATTGATTGGATAGACCCATGCAGAAACAGCTGATGCAACCAAATTGATTATCTGGTGCAATGTTGAACGTGTTAGCCTTACATTGGTTACATAAATCACCAGTTGTATAATCCTAATTAAAAGTTAATGAAAAAAAATATGTTAATACTTTATACTTGATTTCTGGTTTTTTATGGAAACCATAAAATAGGAAAAACATTGTATTGCAATAATTATAAATTATACTTAACACAAGTGTTAGTAAATAAGACAGCATTAGCAAATAAAATATGGCAGAAATATTAATTTATTCAGGAAACATAGGATATTTATACATTAGACTTACCTTGCAGACACATTTTCCAGTACTCTCATCAGGGAATGGTGATGTTGAACCAACTGCATCACATATACCTGAAAAATTAATTATCATAAAGTGTGATCATGGCAGAATACCTACTCTTAATGGTAACCTTATTTTTTAGTTTGTTTACCTTGTTTGCAATAATCTCCTGGTTGTAAAGGATTTCCTGAATATCCAGAGGCACATTGTTCACACCTTCGTACAACATATCCATCAATACAATTACATGTTGGTAAACTATCAGTATCTAGGTAGCAACCTTTACCAAATCTAAAAGAGACGACAATTATTCCAAAAAAATGTTTGACATTTTTATTAAAAATAAAAACAATTGTTAATTACTGATTGCCAGATGATGTTAATGGACAAGGACAATGTCTACACAGTATTCCTCTCGGTGGTGATCCATACATTCCTACTGGACAGACTTCTGTATCTTCTTTGTAACATTGTCCTAACCAGGAACCTTGTTGTCTGCGTACATATCCAGGAGCACAGCTCTTTAAAAAACGATTAAATATTTAAACATGCATAATGTGAATAAACAAAAACACGCATAAATTGTGAATACAAAAATGATCTTCTCATAACAAGATGAGAACATTAAGGAAGTAAATAATAATTCATAACAAACATTTAGGAAAATAATATAATTTATTAAATAAATACTATTCATTCATTTCATTGTATTGATTAGTACATATTTGACACTTACTTCACATGATAGACCAGTATAACCTGCTGGACATTGGCACTCCTCAACAAATGCTACATATTCATTTACACTTTTCATTGTTTGTGCAGAATCCATTTTTATGTGTTATATGTTTGTTTCAGATTGTTGAGAAACATACTGACCCCTTATTTGAGCAATCAATATAATATATTACATCAACAATTGAATGAAAAAAAATATATTAATGGGATAGATACCTGATTAAAATATTTTCTACATTAGCTAAAACCATCATAACTTCTTCCCTAGTCCATTAGAATAACTGTCGGTACTTTATTTTTTCCAAACATCAGCAAATAATCTAGCTGATACAACTGTGTCTATGCCTACTGGTGTTTCCGGACTAAAGTACAGAAGTTTAACACCATTTCCCTAATGAAAATGTTAAGCATCATTCATTGTTCATTAAAACGTATGAATTAAAAATTAAATTCCTTACAATCAAAATAATGTCTGATGTGAATGTAATTGGATCTCCGTTTCCCTCGTACCTAACTATGTATATGTTATGTATCCCCCATAAGATTTCAGCTGATTGCCTAAATAGCTTTCTGGGAATTTGAAGTATGGATATGTGTCTTCAGATTGCTTTGAAGTATTATTGACTGTAAACACTTGTAAAGCTTCATTTCCATTAACATTTATTTGATGAGCAGTAGAACTTGCTGATTGTAGTTCTACTCTAAATGAAGAAGCTTCTACATAAACATTAGCTATTCTAAGTTGATACAATGATGGTGTATTCTAGAAGAAACAAAATATTAGATTTGATTAATCCGAATAAACCCAAAGTGAGATTTTCAAACCTGAATATTGAAGAGTTTGGAGCTTCTGCAATTACTTGATATTCCAAAACAAAAACAGTTTATACAATCATTTTGAGATAAAGCTACATCATTAAAGGTTCCTTTAGGACATGCGCTTGGTTGAACTAAATTAGGTCGTTTTACAACTAATATTGTGTCTGGTACTGCTATTTCGGAACCATGTATATTGATACCTTCACAACTGTAAGCGCCTTGATCAGCTTCCTAAAATCCATAAAATAGGTGCACATAAGTTTAAACTAAGTATAAAACAAAAGTGTATGCAATAATTTGTTTAACATTATAAACATTATACTTGAATATTAGGACAAGTGAGTGTACCAAGTCCATTAACACTAGTCATTTCACATTTTGTTGGAACATGACCCCAGTTCAATCGCCATGATATTTCTGGGATTGGTACACCAACAGCTTTGCATGTTGTTATGAACACTTCACCGATTTCAAGTGTTATCAAAGGAGGTGGTGTAGTTTGAAATTGTACAGGAACTAAATTAAAATTAAAATCATTAAAATAAAGTAGTGTGACCAATGTAAACACATTATTCTACTTATGACAACCAATTTCATCACTTCCATCTGAACAATCACTTTGAGAATCACATTGGAATGATTTTGGAATGCACTCTTTATTTCTGCACTCAAATTCACTATACAAACAGCGAGAATCTATAAGGTGATAAAAAAATCGTCACATATAAATCATTATAATTTATAATTTTACAATATCTACCTAGGTACAGACATAGGTCGGTAGGTATATTACGTAAAAAAAATTATATATTTATTAATATTCATTACGCACCTGATACTCTTTGTTCACAGTTCTGTTCATCAAAATTATCACCACAATCATCTTGACCATCACACACCCAAGTTTTGAGTATACATTTTTTATTACTACATCTAAACTCGTTGGGTTGACATCCAAACATATCTAAAAATGACAGTTATCAACGTATAGGTATTAGTATTTTTAACCAAATGTTTAATTAAATCTAAACATACTGCAACGGGTTTCATCTGATCCATCTAAACAATCTATTTGACCGTCGCAAACTTTTGTCTTTAATATACATTGTTTATTGGAACACGTAGCTTCATTTAAACCACACGATTCTATGGGCCGAACCGTTACATCAATCCCTGAAATATAATTCATAAATATTGTATTAATTATTAAAACAATTAAAATATGAATGGGTGACATTTTTAATTGTATAGATTGTATACATGGGTAATACGAATATGCAGTGCCAGATTTACCTCTTCAGCCGCCCTAGGCTATTAGGAAAATGCCGCCTCAAAATCATACAATAATTTGTGTGTCTACTATCAGCCTGACTATGGTCGGGTGTGTATACACAGAG